AGCTATTTATAAGGATTTCTTCTCACAATTACAATTTACATTGGCTATTGCATGCTAATTATAAATAGTATAGTTTATCTTGATGGGAACCAAAGAAAAATACAAAGAAACAACCAAAAATGAAGTGCAAAATACCAAATTGGGAAAAATGACTAGGAAAGAGGAAGGCCAAAGTGTAGTAGAAAAGCCAGTTCTATGTAGAAGTACATGGGTTGTTTTCCCACAAAGATTCAGAATAAGAGGAACTTTGGGACAGATTTGGTGGGAGAAAGAAATGAGATCCAAGGAGTTTGGCTTTGGATCTGCAGAAGTTGAAGTCCGTGTGGAAGGACCTGGTGGAAGTGTACATAGTCAGTTAAGTATGTAAAGCTGGAGTTTTATACCTTTAAAGTGTTTAAAAGTTGTATAAGTGGCATACCAAGGATGAACTGTGGGAGCAGTCCACCCTGGGTGGAGGCAATAAAAGGGATATTGTTTGTATAATTAAAAATGAAACCAAAACTAATTAAAAATCAGCCTGCACTGACAATTCAGAAGAATACCAATGAAAAAATGTTGCTCCCAAAACCATCTTTTGTTTGTCTATACTCTAAGCACATGCACCAACAAGTTTTCAGTTTTGGTTGGGGGAATCCAAGACAGAGAATAAAATTTCTGATATTGGCAATTAAAATAATCAATGATGTTAGAACAGTTTAACAGCATTAGAACACGAATCTGGGAAGGTGAATGCTGATATGAGATATGATGGAAATACAGTATTTTTCCATGTATAAGATGCTATTTTTTTTTCTAAAATCATTAGACTGAAAATTGAGGGGCGTCTTATACATGGAAGTCAGACGAGGAGGGAGCCACGTGAGTGCATGAGCCTTATTGTTACTGAGGTCAGCTGATGCCATAATTGGAGGTGGAGGTCGAAAGTGCACAGATGCTATAGGGACCGGAGAGTTCTGAGCCCATAAAGATGTCAAAAAATAAAAAGATAAATACTGGTAAGCGATTGTCTTACTCTGCAAACTTAATGTAATCAGCTATGCAAAAGAGCATGAAAATAGAGCTGTAGAGAGACAATTTGGACCTCCTCCCACTTAGTGTATGATCAGACAGTGGAGAAAACAGGAAGAACAACTTCTTAAGATGCCACAAAAGAAGAGGCCTTAAGAGGAAAACCAAAAAAATGGGCAAACTTGAAGCAGAGGCTTAAGACTTGGATTATGGAGCAGCCTGGTTTTTATAGGCTCACAGACACAGAGTAGTTGCACAATAAATATTTAGTGATTAAATAGACAAAGTGTATTACTTGGCTTGTGAAAGTAGTTTAATAACAGAAAATATAGACTGATATAATAATAATAATAATAATAAAAATATCTCTCTTTTTTGGAAGAGCTCATGTCAATTACTTTCACAGGTCTACTTCGGTTTCTGCACCACAAAATGCTAAATAAATAGGGTGACTATATGTCCTAGTTTACTCCTGTGGTCTCAGCATTAATTATGAATGACACTTTCTCTAATTTTTATAGGAGTCTCAGTTAAGACAATGATATAATGTTCTGATGAGCTCCTGATATGATCTTCTAAAAATGTGCACAAATATATAGCATTGACAACAATTTAAGATATTATGCTTTATTTTCTAAATTTAACTGTCATCTTTATTAAACTGTTATTATTTTTATTTTCTCTTCTGATATAAGAGAGGAAATAAAAAATTTGCTGAGCAGATAGAAGACCGATAGTTACCATGATGTATATACTAATTTTTAGTATCTATAGGCATGGTAATGTTATTTAGTGGCCTGATAGTATAATTTAAATTTCAGTTAAAATTAGAGCCAAATCTCACTTCTGGTTAGTATCTGCTAGAATTTTAATTTTATACAAATTTTGTAATCTCTCTGATTCTTAGTTTGCTAAGATAGATATAATTCCTACTTCATAAGATTTCCACAGGCTAATTATTATAAAATTCCTAGCAGAGCACCTGCACTTAGTAGATACAAAATATTATAGTTATTATTAAGAAAAAGGAAATTAGGCTAGGAGGGGGAATGGTATATCTTTGTTGTTTTTACCTAATGCTTTAAATATTTAAGAGTTTTTCCTATATGTTGACTAATTATAATTATACATTCCTATGGTATCATTCAGGACTCTTCAATTATATGTAACAGAAACCATTGCAAAGTAATTTTAAGAAAATTACAACCATTGGCTCATGTACGAGTTAGCTCATGGGTGGGCTTGGGTTTGGCTTTCATGTAGATTCGGAGACAAACGATGTTGTCGGGTCTCTCTTGCCCTCTTGCTCTAGCTCTTGCTCACACTGGTTCTGCTCCGCCCCTTGTAAAGTAGTCTCATTCTCTCCTCTGCAGGCTAAGGAACACACTCACCAGTGGCTCCAGGGATCCTCATTCCAACCCAGCACAGTGGAAAGAGAGCTGCTATCTCCCGACATCCGTGATTGACTCTCCTGGGATCTACCCTCTAACCCCAGTTGCAATCTGACCAGCTTTATTCAGGAGAAGCACTAAACCCTAAAGCATACAGGTATGTGATGAATAAACCCGTTTCTTTTGCTTCTAGAAAGGTCTTAATTTTGTAGTTTGAATTATTGTCTGGGTTTTCTGGCTCCAAAGAGGAACTTTGGTTGAGAAAGTCTGAAGGTGAATGTTTTGAATGCCCAGGCCAAGATCAGAGAAGTGAGCAGAAATCAGGGTTTGGGAAATCTTGGATATCCAAAAAACGATTACTTCCATCTAGGCTTAGCTGATGACAGTACAGAGAATACTGTTCGCATGCCTACAAGAATATTGATATGCTGGTTTCTCTGGAAGATTCATTTCCCAAGGCACTCTCCTCAGGAGCTGAAGTGAAGCTGCTATCATTGCCACCTTCTGGGGCCCAGAAGATGCAGGGATGTGCCAAGTATATTCTTCTGGCTGGCTTCCCATGTCCTCTTCTTGAGATCTTTATTGAAGTGCCTCAAAAAGTGGGGGGAGAACTCTCTGAGCAATAGTCTTTGGGTTGCTGGAGTAACATTTATGCTCTGTCACAGAATGTCCCTTGGTGCCCCTGTCAGAATTATAATAAAGCTCATTTGTCAGTTCCAATGTGACATTTCTTATGTTTCTGTATAGTGCTTCTTAGATTACAATCCTTAGACAATAATCATTGTCAGCGGGATCTTCTTGGAAAATAAAGGGAAACATGAGCATCCAACCCCTACATCTGAACTGTTCCATTTGCTGTAAGCACCCTGTGCCTGCAGAGGAGTGACCTGTCTGCCATCAGTGTCATTTCAATGAGTAACCCGACTGACTCTCCTTCTACTAAGAACAGGACCCAAATTTTCATTCCACTTCTAGGGCTGTGTGACTGGCTTGTGTTTTCTTTCATATGTGTGCATGTATGTGTGGCAAGTTCTTGCTTAGAAAGCTAGTACCGCTTCAATTTTGTTTGCAATGTTACAAGTCACACTAGGCCAGAACTGTAAGGACTTCGCGGAGTCCTTGGTAAAGAGCAATCATTGCTGATAAGTTTCCTTCATTGGTACTTCATACATTTTGACAAATGGTATGCTTCAGCCAAATTATGTCGTTCTGTTTGCATCTTCATCTAATTCTAAAAATCTCAACTTTAAGGATATGGAAACCCAAGTGGAAGGTGAAATCCTTGGTGTCAGTTAGCAGGCAGGGTTTTCTGGGCTGCTTTATTTTTAAATAACCTGCTACAAATTAAACAGGGTCATTTATCTGTAACCTGTCTGTGTAAACTGAAAAAAGAAAAAAAAAGGATCTAATAATAGATTTTCTCATTTATAACAGAGTCTCTTTTTGTGTAAAATTTCCAGCTAATTTGGAAAGCTTTTGTGTGCATATTTAATTATGCAGATAGTTGCCTTAATTTGCCAATGGAAATACAACTACACCTAAATGGAGTTAAAGTTGGGAATGTAGCCCAGTGCTTTTGATTTTGTTTTATTACTTTACTCAGAATATTGATTTCATCAATCCTCCATTGTTCTCCATACACTTTTATTATGAGCTAATTTATTTTTACTACAACCCCAAATTGTACTTCTGTGTGAATAAAGTCTAAACAATGAAAAAAACCTCAATTCTTCTTCTCAGACTATCTATCTCTACCTTTCTAGTTGCCTAATGGACATTTCCATTAGACTCATTATAATCCCAAACTCCATGTACTTAAAATCAAGCTGTTAATCTAAAATCACATTTTGAATTAGTCATCCAGCTCTCCTGTATATCTCTATGGCATCGACCTCTACTTTCTTTTCCAGCTACTTTCTCTTCCATTCCTTATAGCTAAATTCTTCTAAGAGGTGTTTATGCTTATAGCTCCTAAGCTGTCTCTTCTCTTCCTCTCTTGAATCCAATCAAAGCAGGCTTTTATAAAACCCCTCCTCTCCATGGAAACAATGCTTATCACTAATGACCTCCATGTTGTTAAATTCAGTGCTCAAATCCCAGCACTTGATTTACTTGTACTGTCACTAGCATTTTCCTGATACATTTTCTTTCTTCGGTTTCTAGTACAACACAGTCTTCCAAGTATCCTGATGTCTTTGTGGCTGATCCTGCTCAGTCACCTTTGCTGGTGCCTCATCATGGCTCAGTGCTTAGACTTCTCTTTATATTTATACTCCTTATGCAGATGTTCTCTTTCAAATTAATGGCTTTAAATACCACCCAAATGTTGGTCACTCCAGACATATATCCATTGTTGTGAACTTCAGACATCTCTACTTGGATACTTAATAAAAATCTCAAATTTCATGTGTCTAAAACTGAGCTTCTGATTCCTTCTCATAATTTTATGCTTCCACAGTCTTTTCCATTTCACTAAATTCATTCTTTCAAATATTAAGGCCCAGGCTTCAAGGTAATTATTGGCTCCTCCCCCCACCCTTAGACCCCCAAACTCCAACACATCAATTAATTCTGTCATTTTATATTCACAATCAGGACTGCTTACATAATTTGTGAGGCCTAGTGCAAAATGAAAATGTGGGGCCATTTATTTAAAAATATTAAGAATTTCAAGACTATAGCAGCAGAACATTGAACCGAGGGCAGAGTCCTGTGTGATAGCCTAAAACACTTGCCTAAGAAGCCTGTTCACAATATATTAATTCTAGGTACTTCCCACCTCTTCTTCAGTCACATGAGATTCAAGCTACCATCATTTTTTTTTTTGAGAACTATTTAAATGGGGTCCTATCAGGTCTACCCTGTTCTCCCTCCTGACCCTCTCAATGTATTCTCAACTGTGCAGAGAGACCTATTAAAAAACAAATCAGATAATATCACTCTTTGCTCAAAACCCTCCAGTGACTGTCATTTCACTCACAATAAAACTTTCATTTCTCTTTCTTCAACCTAAGTTAGTACATCATCATGTCACACCTACATGACTGCAATATCCTCCAAACCTTCTTATACTACACTCTCTTGATTTTGATCTGCCCGCATACCTTAACAGGGCCAATTTTTATGAAACACTGTTTCTACCACCTCACTTTATAAGACATAATCCTTATCTCATAATATTTCAAGTTAAAACTCCTCAGGCTCTTAAGGCCTTCCACAGTTTACTCCAATTTTACAAAATAGTCCCATTTCCCATTTTGTCTCCAAAAATCTCCATTCACTTAGGCAAGCTAGTCTCAAATACACTCCATATTCATCTATAATCCTGCTAACATCATTTCCTTTAGCAGGAAGCACATTTTTTTTTCCCTATGTCTGTCTCAATTACACACATCTTCCACGGCTTACTTTATTTTCTACTTCCTCCAAAGCCTTCTACAATTACCCCAGTTCTCACTGATTTTCCCTGCATTTTAACATCAGATGAACTTAGATCTTTCTACTACCCACTTTAAGACAAAGATGTACTCTCTGGAATTGGTCACAGATTGTTTCACTGAATAAGCACCTTTTGGGCAGGGTCCACATTTCCCCCCTGCAATGTTGAGTCCAGGAAAAGTGCCTAATACAGGTCATCTAATAATTACTTATTTTCTAAATATATTATATGTGTTAACAACAGGCACTAAATATGAAAGAAATCAAAGCAGACCTTTTGGAGTATACCATAGAGGGCATGCATAATACACAGAATAATGAGAGATATTGTTTGAGCTCTGGACAAGCACTCTACTAAGGGTTTTGTATATTTTAGCTTATTTACTCTTCACAATAATCCTGTGAGTTAGGTACCATTATTCTCATTTCAGTTATCGGTAACCTGAGGTTCAAAGAGGTTAAGGAACTTCACTAAGGACATAACTAGGAAGTGGCAGAATGGGTTTCAAATACAGGTAATCTGCTAACTCTGCCCATCCCCTGAGCTGAATTGCCTCTCACAGTCTACATTTGTTTACTGTAAAATTTTAAAGCTCTAGACCACTATCATAATTTTAATATAAAGTTTATTATATACTTTGCTAAGATACAAACCATATTTTCCTTTTTGCTGTATCAGAGAACCATGGAGGTTTTGTACTTTGTCTCAGTCAGATATCAGAGGAAAGTATCCAATTATTCACTTATTTTATCAGTTACGCCCACTTTATAAACAGCTCTTAGCAAACATGGAGCCCACATGGTGAGTGCATAGTACTATTTTGCAGTCATTCCACCACTGAGACAAGAATACCAAGTGTCTGCCGGTCTTACTAATTAGTTTCAGAAAGACTTGTTTTCAATGGTTGAGTTTAAAAACATTACATTTACTACAGTTTGTTGAAAGCTTTTTTTTCTGGCCTGTATTTCTGAGTTGCAGCTTAATTTTTCACTGTCTTATTTTAATTTCTCTCTTTCTTTATAGATCTCATCCTCTCACTTATTATTCTTTGTCTTCTCTCTGTTTCTGGCTTTTCTTCCTGCAGCTGGGCTTTGGTTAGAAGGGATGGATGCAGCTGCCCAACCATTTTCACATTCTTCACTGATGTGATTTTCTTGAGGTAAAACATCATTTAAGAAGTATTACTCAACAATTAAATGTTTCTGTCCTCCTCAAATTCGGTGTCTGAAAGCCTGCCAGTAAGACCCTTTGCAGTTGTTTGTATTGGTTTGGATCCCTTCCTGTTATGCATTATTTTATTTGTTCTGTGCTGATTTGGCTTTTATGTAATATTTTGTTATAGTTGTAATTTCCTCTTTCTATCTAATCTCAACCACTGACTTGGTTTCACTGTTATCTCCCTCCCACCCCCCACCTCCTGGGGAAAGGGTTCATTGACTACTTCCCACTACAAGTTTGACTGCTTTTTAAACTAAATATTTCATCTATTTGATGGGCCAGATTTTCACAGGATTAAGGGGAAATTTTGGAGGCAGGAGTTGGATTCTTGCTCAGCCTTTGAAGATTCTTAGTTGTCTACCGTGCTTTTGGATTAAAGCAGGGGCACAAAGTTGTACCCAAATTGGTAGTGGAAACCTTAGACTATCTGGTTTGAGTGTGGTGCTACATGGAAGTGTCTTTTCATCTTTCAACAGTTATCCTAGACTTTTTCAGAGTAG